TTAATAACAATAATTAAAATTTAATAATAATTTAATAATAAATTAAATTTAATAATAATTAAAACTTAATAATAATTTAGTAATAATTTAAGTTTAATAATAATGATTAAAATTTAATAATAATTTAATTATAATTTACAGTTGAATGCTTTTTAGTCGTCAAGGAATTTCATCATTTCTTTATATTTTAAATTTTGAAAAAGTTTAAAATAAAATATTCCATTTGTTAAATTTTTTCGATAGATATTATAGCAAGAAGAAAAGAAATTATAATACTTTAAGATATAATTAAAAAATTAACAAATTTAATTACCCAATAAAATATTACGTTCGAAGAAAATGACGAAATATTTTATAAAAGAAGCTGTCATTAATTATTTTTTTCGTCATTTTACTAATGATAATTGAATAATTGATTTTAATTATTATTTTTTGAAATTAATATTCATAAGAAAAGACAAAAAGATGTAAAATTGTTGCGATATTTCTCATTTCATGAAGTAGTTTTTCACTGTCTCATAATTATTACAATTGCTTCATCTAAATTTGTTTACTTCTCAAATTCCTATATTAAAATATGCTTTCATAAATTGTTTTCATTTCTGTTTAGTTAAATTTCAATTTTTCTCATCCTTTTTCTTGATTTGGAAAATAAGATGAAAGTTCAAACCGATTCTGTATGTCCGTCAATAGCTGTGCTAATTCGTTCTTCAGCAGCTGGAACACAATCGAAAGCTAAAATATAAATATTATTTAGCACAATTTAGTATTTGATAGGATATTAATAAAATATTTTTGTCAATAATTTTAATTAAGAATCGGATAGAACTTGGCGGTATTTATTTGTAACTTAATTAATTTAATTACCATTTAATATTAAATCAATAAAAAGGATTAGTTGGCTTTTTGTTAAAAAATTTTAAAACAGGAAAGAATTAAAATAATCGATATAAAGGAAATTAAAATAAGTAAAATAGTAAAACATATGAATTAATTTGCTTAATGCGGTTGGTAATATCACTAATAACATTTTATCAAAATATGGGGGGATCGAACCTGATAGTGATGAGTGGTATTTCGCAATAATATAACACTACATATAAATGGCTATAGTTATATAAATGGCTAGCACAGTTTATAAAACAATTAAATTTTTTCTTTAAAATATTAATTAATAAAAAATAATTAAAATATAAATGTATAATTAAAATTTGCATAAAAAGCAAAACAAAAAAAAGAGTTTGTTAATCAATAATCCCCGAGATTTTTAGAAGAAAGTGGAAATTAAAATTCCCGGGGAACAATCTTGCATTTCTTGTTTTGCACTAAAAGCCTTACCTGAAATGAAGTACGGAAGGAAAGAAGGATGAAAATGTTTTGACAGATTAAAATAATTTATTTCAAGGTTAACCTTCAAAGTTTTAATAAATAAATTTTAATAGTTTTAATAAATTTAACAAATATTCTTTGACATCTTTAAAGATATCAAAGATCATTTATTGAATGAGTGAATAATACTCTGTATGATACATAGTAAAAGAAGCTATTTTAGAATGCATAGTTTAAATTATGATTATTTATTATAAAATATTATAGCGTTATATTTAATCATGATTTCATGCATTATCATTTTATCAAATGATAAAATTTTTTTGGAAAATTGAAAGAAAATTTCAAACCAGAAAACAAATCAGCTAAATCGCATTCATTCTTAAAATTAGATTAAGTAAATATTGTTTGTCAAAAATTCAAATTTCAAAATGCCACAAAAGGAAAACGAAGTGAACTCAATCGTAAAATTCACTTTGGTATGGTTGCATTGCAGTACAGGAAGATTTGGAAATTGCTGTCAGCAGTATAGCGATCTATTATGATAGACAAACATTAAAAAGAAATTTAACTATGAAATTAAATAAGATGTACTCATTTAAATTAAGTGATCGTTGGCTGATTACTGAAGCGTTAAATTTGAATTTTAAAAATTAGGTTATTGCGAAAGACTTAGAAGAAATGAGGAAACTATCGCATACAACGAAATTCGTCATTTGCATAAAAAATTCGGATATTATTTGCATTAATAATTTGTGACAAATTGACAAATTAGAGATTCTTCAAATAAATTTTTTAAAAAAGTTTCTTTATTGTTTTTTTTTAGGAATTAATAATTAATTTTATACCGAATTGCAATTATGATTTATTTAAAATTTACATATACATGAAGCTTAATATTCTTTTGAAATTACCTAATTTTTTAAATCAGTTTTTTAACTTAAAAAAATTAAAGCTACTAAAACTTACTGATTGCTTGCAGAAGTGTTACAAGTCTTCGTGGTTCGCGTAGATCGTTCGTAAGATCTTTAATCGGTTCTGTTCCGTATTTTATCAAATGGCGATTTGCCCAATCCGTATAGACCTGCAATTAATTCATTTTATAAATTCATTCCGTTGCTAATTTTTGGAAATTAATTTTTTTAGAATTGAAATTTCTTTTTCTTTGAGTGTATATTAACAAACAATTTAAATTGCTAAAGTTTAATAATTCTAATTTTTATGAAACAAAAGCAATGTGAAGATGATAAGGTATAAAAACTTTTGATGATAAATAATCATAACTTGCTTGATAATATGCAATATTATGATATAGATAATTAAATTCGGAAATCAAAACATGAAAGATTAAACCTTACCTGATGACAATAATAAATTCATTATATGACTACGTGTTATTATGTGTTTTTTCATTATATTATGTTTAATTATATTATGTGTTTTATATTATGTGTCCAGAAAGTTGCATTAATTAGGTAAATGATAAGGTAAATTTACTTTATCAGTAAAATTTTAACTAATTTTGGTTTTCATTCATTTTAAAGTTTATTAATTTAAACATCATTAAAAATTGTTTTCTCTTCAGCTCTTACTTTCTACTAATGTAGCTGTAAGTTTTACTTTATCATCATATGGTTGTAAGTGATGTCATCACCTGGTTGTAAGTAATTCTAACTTCACTACTATTTAATTTGATAAATTTTATCAATGCTTCCATCACCGCTTCTTTCTTACTTGCAACAATTAATGTCTAATTTTTTTGTCTCTAAACAATAATTAGTGTTTGCTAATTTAAATTAAACTTTTGCCACCTTTCTATTTTTAGTTATAATCGTTTAATTATTACATTTCATTTTCCATTTATATTTTATCTTATATGTTATTAACTTTTAATTACCTCCCAAGAAAAATTAACGAACAAATCTTTCAATAATTATAACAAAATTATTATGTGAAATTTTTTATCATATAATTTGTGCAGATTTATTCCATTTTAAATTGTTGAAAAATAAATTAATAAAGAAAATTATTTTCAAGTGATATCGTTATTGGATATAAAATGTGTATTTTAATGAATGCATTAAGTGTAAACCATCGCTTCCAACCAAATATATCGTTTAATTTATTTCTTCAATAGACTTAATTACTTACCAATTAAAATATATCTATGACTACTCATTACATACAGCATTATTGTATCCATTCCCATTTTTCATCAACCAATCTTTGAAATTAATGTTAACTAACAAATATGAACAATGAGAGTAACTTATCCATGCTTAGCTAATAAAGGACACATGACCTTAGTGGTTAACTATAAATAAAGTATATGACCTTTGCAATGCTTAGCCTATAAATAAATAATCCATATTCTCTTCACATATTCCAAAAAAATTTACAACTTAAATGAAATATAAAATTACGAAACTTTTTAATTAGCAAAGAAAGATATTAGTAAAAATTAAAAACTTTTGTTTTCATTAATTATTCTTCAAGGAAAGGTAAATTATCAAAAAGTTCTTTTAGTAGTAAATTATTTGAAAAAAAAGTAACATTCCCTTTTTCCACTTTATAAAACCTTATTGAATTTTTCTTTCAAAGATGTTTCATTAACATTTTAGTAATAATTACTTTTAATTGAATAGAGAATAATATTACACGGTTGCAATAGATTATATTATTATGTATAATATTAAATAATTAATTATCAATAGATATTTGCGATTAAAAAGTTTTTAGATCTAATTTCTAACTATAAGAAGTTATTGATTCCTATAATTATTATACCTTTAAGAGAAGAGAAAATAATATTACACAATTGCAATACATTATATTAATATGCATAATACTAAACAATTAATTATCTATAGATATTTGCGATTAAAAAATTTGTTAGGTCTCAAAATATTTTTTAATTTCGAATTATAAATTTATTATTTCTCATAATTATTATACTTCTAATCGAATAGAAAATAATATTACACAATTTGCAATAGAACATATTAATATGTATAATACTAAATAATTTATTATTATGTATAATACTAGATATGTAAAATAATATGTATGATAGTAAATAATTAATTATCACAAAGTATTTGCGATTAAAAAATTTTTTAGATCACAAAATAAATTTCTAACTTCGAATTATAAAAATTCATTAATTCCTACAATTATTATTTTAAGCTTTCAAGAGTATGATAACAAAAGAATTGAAATAAGTTATGATAATATTTGTTGAAACATTAATTTAACAAAATATTATTGCCACTACGACAACTATTGCAAGAGAGGAAAAAAGACAGACGAAAATGATAGAAGAACTGGTAAATGTTATCTAAATCTAATCTTATGATAAGCTAATGTATTGCTATCGGTTTGGTTTTTAAATCATTCTGATAACATCAATTTGAAAACTGAAATTAAATTATTTTTGCAAAAATTTCTTTATCAAATTTATTTCTTTTTATGCTTCTTTTTATTTTATGATTAATTTGCATGAATTTATATTTATTCCATTATACTATGCAAGAAGTTGAAATTGAAATTTTAATATTTACAAAGTTTAAAATCTTTAAATTATAAAGATTTTTTTTCAAGGAAAGAATTTTTGAAAAATTAGATGGAGGAAAAAGTATAAGAGATGTTTTTTATGAAATGATGATATATTATTGATATTTACAGAAGTGATTGCGATATTCAAATTCTTTATAGAGATATGGTAATTTAATATTTGATAGAAAATAATCGGATATGATGTGAAAGTGTTCACTTTCAATAATCTATCATATCATTTAGTCAATCTTTATTGCACTTAAATCAGTTCTACGGATCTTAAACTATAATTTATAGCCATTTTTTTGTTTCAAACATACGAAAGGGTTTTAATGAAACAAAACAAATAGTAAAATTTCATAAAGAACGATAAATGAACGGCTGAAAATTTATTCAGTACAAAATGAAATGATATAAAATTAATTCTATTTTAATTAGCAAAAAAAAGATCAATTAAATTTATGATAAAATCAATTGCATAAATTTAAACTTAAAATGTAAGCATGAAAATAATAGTGATATTATATTTATCAAATATATTAATATAGCAAAATTTAACAGTAAGAAATTTTTGGAAGATGATTTTTCAGTTATAATTTATACAATTCATTTAATCATTTTATTGGGGCGGTAGTGGTGTTCATAGAAAATATCATGCTGAAATTACAGCATACGGCAATATATTTATAGCAAATTTCAAGTGGTTTATCATTTGATTATCGGCGTTATCACAAAAAGAAATGAAGAGAAGAAGCTGGCTCTTTAATAATTAATCAATTAATTAATTAGATAAGTTAGCTTAAAATCGGACAATATTCTACGAAATAAGCACAAATATGATTATGCTATTTTAATAAAAATTTGATCAAAACTGACATTTAATTATTATAAGACTAAAAAGGATTAATTAGCTAAGCAGGCGCATTTGGTCATAATTTAAACTTTATGATTGAAATGAAATGTGTCAGTTGCTCTATTCTGGGTGAAATAATAAAATGAGAGCGCCAAAACTGATTTTGTCGTATAGTTTCTTCTGCTTTTTCGATATATAAAATCATCTTATAATTATGATTAATAGTAAATTTTTTTTTTTTAATTAATCAAATTTTCGAAGCGCAATTTTTATTGCCAGCCGTCTTTTTAATATATTAAAATTTGGATCACATAATATGATTTATATACATATATTCATAGTTAGATGGCTGTTTTATTTTTTAAAAAAGAAGTATTAATGTTAAATGCTGGGAAATATTATCAAAGATTTATCAGTGACATTACAAAAGATAATGATATGATGATAATTATAATGAAATGACGAATATAGTATACTTAAAAATGGAAGTTCACGATTTTAATTATTTAATTAAATCATTCAAGTTAGTTGTATTATTTTGGATCTGAATCATTTCAGTTCCATAGTTTTTGCAGAACAAATATTACTTTTTGACATATTTCCTATACTAACATGCAAAATTAAATTATTATTAATTATCGATTTTTCGTTCATATTTTACAAATGTTTAATTAGTTCAACTCAAATTTTACCATAAATTTATAAAGTAAATTACTAACCTTATTATATCTATCATACTGATGTGATAGCAAATATTTCGCATAAGACTTTTTCATTCGTTTCATCGTCCAACTTATGAATCAATTAATGGAAGAGAAATGAAGAAAATGCTGGTACGAATGAAAATAGTTTGATTACCTCAGGCGATTTTATTACGGAAGCACGAATGAAGCGAAAGATTGAACATGAAGGAACATAATGAATGGCAAAAGAATAAATGACAAATGCATAATTATGAAGTGGACAGTGGACTAATTGAATTTTGAAATGCCCATGTGATGATGATTACAAATATCCATAATGAATCTTCTTCTATTACCAGGCCTTAGTATTAGTTAGCACTTTAAATTTAGTAAGATGACAACGTTCAATAATTTGCTATACTTTATATAAAATATTTTTCTTATTTTTTCGAGAATTCAAAATTAATCGATAAATGTTCACAGGTAAGACTACAATTCCTCAGGTATGTAATATTATACCTGCAATATGTTTTCGAAATGGGAAATTTTAGGAAGAAGAAAAGAAAATTTATCGCATAAAATATCTTACAATCGTTGCATTTTTTAATTGCAAAAATTTGTGATTAGTCATGCCTTGTTGAAATTAATCAGATAGATGTTTTCTAAAAAAAGACATTGATTTCGAAATTAATAATACAAAGTGAAATTATCATTATCACTATTGTTTTAGCAATAATAAAACTTTTCCCTATATCTTCAAGAATAATTCAGCAAATTTTAGATACATATAATATTATATATATAGTATATTAAAAGAAAAACGTAAGCAAAACTATGTTTTAGAAGTAATAAAGCAATTTAGTACGATTTCTTAATTAATTATATATCAATTTTTTTGATTATCATTTACTAAAATTAAACTTTCGGATGGCTTTCTTATATATAGTTGGCTTTGCTTGTCTTAATTACTTCCTTTCCTCAACTATTTCACTCTATTATCAACTTGACAACAATCCTTTAAATCTCAATTCATTAACAAATGTCTCGGAGTACTTGAAGAATGGCAAACGTTCACCAATCCGGAACAGCCGAGCAACCTATAATCGCCTTTCTACACTTCCATCATTCTTCTCTTGTCATCCTCAGACTAAACTCTTTTCATATTTTAATTCATTATAGAGCTTTGCTTAGATTTCATTCGTTCACTTATAAGTTTCAATTTTAATTTCTTCATTTTCGAATTTCAGATTTGCATTGAGAAATATTTTTCTCAATAAATTACTTCCTCTTAAAACAATTTAGCTAATTTGAATAATTTTTAATAGCATTTGGCACTAACTACTGTTTCATACATATTCACACTGAATATTTAAGCTATGATTTCATTAATTTTATCAGTTATTTTATTAATTAAAATTAATTGGATATTTAAAAAATTTTTTTCACCTTTAATTTTTTGATAAATTCCATTAGAAATACTTTTGTTGAACAGCTAATAAGATATTTTAATTATCGGAATGAATTAATCAAAAATATAATATCATCGGGAACTCAAAATGAAAATGTTCGATATGAAAGGCTAAGTAAGCTGTCACATTAAAGCCGAGTGATAAGGTGATTTAATTG